TGTTCAAGATGTGAGCGTGTGTGTGGCTGAAAACAGTGGTTTTAACTACAACAAGTTAGATCTTAATGTTTTTGGATTGTTAATGATGTAATCTTTCATGGCTGAACTGGACAAGTTCATCACAATGGATTTTACTTAGTTATCTTATTTTTACTTTTTATATGTATTAATAAAGCTATGCTTTTGGACTTTACAATGTGTCTTCTTGCCTGAGGAAGATGGGATCCTGAAGAAGAGAAGCTGAGCCAGTTGGTAGTAAGAGTTACAAAGTGGCTGTGGATCACAGCAGCCAGCTTGTCCTGCAGATTCTGCTGGGTGCTAAAGAGCATCACTACAACACTCATCATCCACACACAAACGGGGAATACAGCTCAGTAGTAACACCCATATTTTTCAAGCAAAATGCCCAATGTTTCCTGAGTCTCTATTAAGAAAAAGATAGCAGCAGGGAATTATCAACAGGATTGAGGGGGACAAATTGAAGGCATTGCCCACCAATAGTCAGTCTTTCAGTCAAATTTTATTGCTTTTGGCCAATGGCCTTTGCATAAAACAATACCACAATAAAAACAAAATGCATACATATATTTATCCAACATCAATCATATGATTATATAACAATTTACAATTTACAAAATTATATCTATATCTATATAGATAGCTATAGAGATAGAGATAGAGATAGAGATATATAGTATAAGATTTTTAAATATAGTTATCACCTTTACAAGCTATAGCTATCTCTGCTATATATTTTTTTCTGATTTTTTTGGCTGCTAGAGCAAGCAAAGCTACTTGCCATATTTGTCCATATCCATCAAGAGGTAAAAAAATGCTTCTTGTGGACTCTAGAAAGGACTAGTTTCAGTTAAAGGCATCACAAATCATTCCCTTGGTTTACTATATAGTGGGCAATACAATATATCATGAACAAAGTCCTTTAATTCTGGGCATCCATATATGCATGTGCACTCCTTTATTGGGATGCCCCTGTGCCTCCCAACTCTGTAGGCTGATTGTCCCCCCATAAGAATTCTGACTTCCATGGAATTATTCTACTGGCTTCAAATTTCTAGCTGTGCAGTGATTTAAATCTTCAGTTGAACACTTAGAAATGGAGAATTCATAGACACGTCTGTGTTAGTCTGCAATCTCACTATGCAAAAGTGTCTTATAGCACCTTTAAGACTAACTGTGTGAAAGAAGTGTGGCATAAGCTTTCTTAATACTGTCTTTGTGCTCAGATTCATGAATTAAACTAATGCAGCCCTAGTCAATGAAAGCTTATGCTACAACTTCTTTCACATAGTCTCAAAGATCCCTTTGCATATGTAGAAATGCTTTTAGCCATCTAAGAAAAGGGACAGGCAAAGTTCCCAAGGAAATGCAACTGCAGGAGACATAAGAGTTCTAGGTGTGAATGATTTTCAGTCTCTCTCTCTCTCTCTCTTTAATGCTAGAAATTTAGGGACTGGTGCTAACATTCATTCGAGGCTAGAATTTGGAGTTGGGCAAAGGCTCATTTGACCCCCCCCCAGTAGTTACATCTCTGGTAGCAAATAAAGGGAAAGAGATATCTGTTCAAGAATCTAGAAAGTTTTTGCCAGTCAGAGCAGATACCTGACCAAGGTAGATAGATGGTTTACCCAAGTATGAACCTGGGCAATGACAACATTCCTGCCACTACTAGCCCTGGGGAAGTGGTTATCTTTGAAAGAAGGGAATATGGTTGCTTCCATCCCCTGGGACTTGGCAGATCAACTGGGCTGCAGAAGAAATGATGGAGTTCAACGAGATTTAGGGGCTGTACAGCAAGCCCCCAGGGCCACAGGTTGTACATTATAGCCTGAGGATAAAATAAATGGTAGGAAACACCCACTACTGACAGGCAACAGAATGTAAGAATGGAAATTGTTCAAAGGTTATGCAAAGAGAACTATCTGTTTTCCTGGGGATACTTTAAAAAAAAAAGGAGGAAAGATAAATCAATGCATCAACACCCATTCTGGTGATAATAGATGCTTTACAGAAATCAATTGAGATTTTGCTTTTGACTTGAATGGGGACAATTTTTACTGAATTATCTAATATGAACTCTCACTAGAAGCTTCCTGGCACATGTTCCATAACCATATTGTGACACATTAGTATAATGGAAAGTGTATTGAATGATATTTTTCTTTCTCTGTCTCATGCTGGTTAGACAGTACAAAAGCAAGCTGAAGCTGATTGGCAATCGATTCAGGACAGTCCATTTTAAAAAAGCTTTTAAAAAAGTATGAGACAAGTTCAAGGAGGAAAAAAGTTCTCCTTCATTGTAAAGACTTGTTATTTGCCTTTTAGATCCTTAATGATCAGAAGTAGTCTACCCTGATTTTTTTTGGGGGGGGGGGGAAGCAAAAAACAACAGAAGCTGGTCCAAACTATCATGCCTTGCTTGTGAGATTTTCAGTGTCATCTAGATGGCTGCCCTTCAAAACAGAATGAAGGGTTAGACACTCCATGTAGCCCAGTAGAATACCAAGGAAAGTTGTCCTCAAGCTGTCTTACCTGATATCTTGTCATTGGAAAAGAAATATTTATTTATTTATTTATTTGCCACTTTTTTCCAACATGAGGCTTAAGGAACTTACAATAGGGTTAAATAAAGTAGAGCTAAAATCCACTGACAAGAAATTTGAAGCATAATCAAATAAGCCATGATATTAAAATGCTCTTAATTTTTTTAAAAAAAGATTTGTGCTATTAAGCATAATCAACCAAGAACCAGAAGAACTATAGACAGAAACCAAGAAATAATCAAGGAGGAATAAAGACACTATTGGTCACCAAAAAGAAAGAGAAGAAACAATGGATAACAGATGAATGCCTTAAGCAGAAAAGAAAGTAAAAGAAAAAGGTGATAGGAGAAAAACCAAAACCAAGAATGCAACTATACAATGACTAGAGTGCAAGGATAAAGAGAACTACTATAAAAATAAATGCAGAAAAATAGAAGACAGCAACAAAAAAAGGAAGAATGGGAGACCTCTTCTGCAAAATCCAGGAAGTAAAAGGGAAGTTCAGTCCAAGGGCTGGGATGCTCTATGATCAGAACAGGAACCTATTATAAGATCAAGAAAATATGAAAAGATACTGGATTCAATATAAAAATATAAAACAGATGAAAAAACCAATGACACATGGAATGAATGGCGCAGTGGTTAAATGCCTGTACTGCAGCCACTCACTCATAGACCACAAGGTTGCGAGTTCAATACCAGCCAGGGCTGAGGCTCAACTCAGGCCTGCATCCTTCCGAGGTTGCTAAAATGAGTACCCAGATTGTTGGGGGCAATCAGCTCACAGTTGTAAACCGCTTAGACATCCCATGCGCAATATGAAGCGGTATATAAATGAAGCTGCTTTGCTTTGCCTTGCTTTGAAGAACCACATGTAGATGAAGCCCAAATGCTAGAAAGTGAGGTGGAAGCTGCAATAAGATAAATTGGGAAGAATACTTTACAAGGAACAAATAATATTCTAATTGAACTGCTACAATCCAGAGAAATCCAGAGGTGCAAGCAGGGTTCAGGAAAGGAAGAGACACTAGGGATCACATTGCAAACATATGATGGTTAATGGAGCACACCAAAGAATTCCAAGGGAAAAAAATCAGCAAAGCCTTTGACTGCCTAGATCATGAAAAGCTATGAATGGTTCTTAAATACATGGGTGTGCTAATACATCTGATAGTCTTGATGAGAAATCTGTACTTAGGACAAGAGTTACTGTTAGAACAGAATATGGAGAAATGGAATGGTTCCCAATTGACAAGGAGGTCAGGCAAGGCTACGTTCTGTCATCCTACTTATTCAACTTGTATGCAGAAAATAGCATACAAAAAGCATGTTATGACTTAGAAGAAAGAGGAATTAAGATAGGAGGAAGGAACATCAAGATTCTAAGATATGTGGATGACACCATACTGCTACCAGAAAACATCACAGATTTTGAACAATTACTATGGAAGATCAAAGAAGAAAGTGCTGTGCTAGCTGCCAAGCTGTTTGTATATCAATAAATCTTTGTTGTTTGATTATTCTCTACCTCTCTTTGGGAACCCTTTTGAATCCAACATAAACCACATCTGTTTCTCTAGCATTAAAGTCACTTTAAAGACCAGTTACTAAATGCTGGGAATGGTTGAGACAGGGGTAGGCAACCTTTTTGAGCCGGGGGCCGGTCCAAAGACCTCAGACAATTGGGGGGGCCGAAGCACCAAAAATAAATAAATAAATAAATAAATAAATAAATAAATATAAAAATATATATTTTTTAAAAAATTAAAAATTATGCATGCACACTCTCTCAGCCCCAGAAAAGCCATGGCAAAACCCCTGTGGAGATTTTGCCAAGAAAACCCCAAGAACAAGTAATAACAACAATAATCAATATCATCATGGCGGGCGTCAGTGGCGGGGGGCAGCGGCGGTGGTGGTGGCGGCGGCAGAACCAGCCTGGGGCTGGTCCAAAGGCCTTGGGGGCCGCATCTGGCCCCTGGGCCTTAGGTTGCCTACCCCTGGGTTGGGAAATGAGGGATGAGGTGAATAACAGGAGCCCACCATACAAAATCCACAAAACAGTGATGCCTTTATTGGACAATCAAAAGCTCAAACAAAATACATGTTGCAAGCTTTCAAAGCTCCACAGGCTTCTTTATCAGGCAAAGATAGTAAAAATCATACAGGAGCAAAAACAAACAAAACAAAACAAAACAAAAGATGAAATTAGTCCCAAGACTGCATTTTGTTAAGATGTTGCTATCCTCAGTTCAATGGAGAGACATTCATGCAGAAAGGGCTCACCTATAGCTGGCCATGTTGGAAATTCAGGATTTTTTTAAAAAAATTCTCTGGATGAGCAACCTGGATAGGGGTTCCAATTATCATGCCTAGTTTTATTGACAATAACTAACAATGGTTCTACATGATTTCAGAGGGAAATTGGAATGACAAGGATTGAACCTGAGACCTGGTGTATGCAAAGCATATGCTCTACCACTGAGCTATGGTCCCTCCCAAGTAATATGAGATGGTGTTCAGTGATGAGTGAACAAATGACAGAAATGGCAAAAGAGAGAGGAAAAGATTAAGCATATCCTTCCATACTTCTGGTGCTTTTTAAGAACATAGTCCTCACAGACAGTTTTTCATTTAAAAATATGAAGAAAAGTAACATGTAATTGAATGTCACTTGTGCTTTAATCCTCATAGCAAAATGTAGACTAGAATTCAGGATCTCCAAACCAAACCCAAATTTCTGCCTCCTACATATTCCTGTAAAAGATATTTTATTTCTGCATCCATTACCTACCAAATGCATTGTTTCACACTCAGATCTCACACAATACAGTATTACTTAAAAATTTGCTTCATTCTTTTGATTTCTCCATATACACAGCATTTGATGCCATGTAGTTTTAGAAAAATCTCATTTAGTACAATTTCATTGCAGTTAATGATAATCTTCTTGTTGATCACTATGGACTTTGCATTCTGCCTACAGTGAGATAGACCATGCTTCTTGCTGAACTTTCTAATTGTTCCTGTTGTGTTTGCATGGCTCAGTAAAAATAAATAAATAATCAAAATGCTATGAGGAGCACACATGTTTAAAATGGGACTATTAAGAAAGTAGTAGTCCACTAACAGTAATTCACACACACACACACACACACACACATTACAAAACTGCTGTGAACCTCTTGCTTTCCAGTAGATACCAGTCAATATAATACATATGTTCATGACAGCATTGTAATAATTGTATGACAGATTCTGCAGATGTCAGGGAGGTTGTGCAATCTTATCCTTCTCTATTCAGAAGTAAGTCATCCTTGTGTTTAGTGGTTCTTTTTACTAGCAAAGTGCGGAAGAGGGAACACTGTGCAGCCCTGGGGCACAAGCATCCTGAAGATCATTTTTGTGGTCTTCAGTCCTTTTAGAATGCCTTTTTTTTCTGACCTAAAGAGCTAAGGTAAATTGCTTCTGCTGGAAGCTCCTAAATGTAATGATTCACCAGTTAGATAGGTTTGCATCTCTTCACCTTTTAACATAAATATTTCCCTCCACTTTTCAAAATCAGAAGGGGGCTTTTCATCACTTCTGTTTTTTTCTTGGTTTACAGCATTTTTGGCCATTTTCACAGGTGCCCCAAGGGTGTTAAAAGCAGAATCTGCCCTGCTAGACTAGGAGAGAACATTCCATTTTAAAGTGGAATCTTTAAAAAACCAGGCTACAAGTTTAAAAACCCTTAAGTTAGGAAACATCAGTTTACATTTTTTCTATACTGCCACACTGGGTAGCATGAAAGTTTTCCTCAATTTTATGTTCACAACAATTGGGTAGGCTATCCTTAGTGGGCTCATATTCACATGGTGATGAGTCTGGATTTAAAACTGATAGTTGAACTGGGAGATACTTTAACTACTTTGGGAAAAGCAATTAAATGATTATATGGTGACTGATAAGAGGAAAGGAAGGAAGGAAGGAAGGAAAGAAAGAAGGAAGGAAGGATCAGCCATTGGCAGGCCTGTGAGCAACTTGTCCTATTATATTGAGAAAGTGTGGATGTGATCAGTGTGGAGGAACTATGGACTGCCCAAGAAAACCATTTCAAATCCTTTGTAGAAAGAGCAGAATATAAATTAATTTAATCTCAATAGAAATATAGATACTTCAACAGATCTTATGTCATTATACTATTCAAAGGTGCTAGGTTTATGGAATTGGATACATGGTTTTTTAAAATAAGAAATTAACACATCAAGAGTTATACTCCAGAGGAACTGTATTATTATCATCATCATCATCATCATCATCATCATCATTATTAACTATTTTTGAAGGAGTTAATGCAGATACTTTGCATAAAGGTTTTATTGATATATTTCTAGGGTCTGCATAGTTAGAAATTACAAGAAGATGGGAAACTCTGAAATATCTCTCATTTCAGTGTTGGTTAGACTGTGTATGGGGAGCTGCCCTCTCAGAAAAATTGACCTGTAGAATTAGATTGACCAGAAGGGAATCTTTAAGAAGACAGATTTACTATAATTTGCATCCCTTTCACTTCACCAATAAATGAGCAAGATTTATGGGGTGGTTCACCACCACATCAGCAATTATTCTGGGCCTCATCCTTTTGAGTTGGTTATGCTATTAAAGTTATTTGATGTAAATTACTTTTGTACAGAGTTGTATTTAAAAATAATGTTTATATTACTTGGCCAATTGTGTTGCTGTTTGCCATCTTAAAATAAAAAGAAGAAGCATAGATATTTTATATCACTGCTGTTAAAATGAACAGAAAATATATTCCATAGGAAGATTTTTCAGTGCTTCTCTTTTACAGAGTGCCTTCATGCAAGCCAGAGAAGGCTCAACATTTGACCAAATAATAAACAGAAAAATTAATGAGGGCATATAGGTCAATATGATAGGAATCTACAGCTCTGTACATATATAGCACCTACTACACCCATCAACAGTGAATTCAGGTGGTGGGTGCTAAAGGTTTTGTAGTCAAAATGGGACTATTAACAGACAAGATGTAGCATGATTAGGGGAACTTGGAGGCTCATAGATTACAAAGCAAAACAAAACAAAACAAAACAAACCTCCACAAAAATGTGGAGAAACAATCCACTGTCTAGCTTACAGAGAATATCAACTGGAAAAGAAGAATGGAAAACTGGTGATGGTGATGACAGAATGGATTGTTTGAATTCATATGTTAGAGCAGCCTTCCTTAAATGGCACTGGACAGCTCAGCCCACTCCCATCCAGCATAGCCGATGTCCAGGATGGATTTGGGTAATAGACATTGTACTTTATCAGGGCTACAGGAACCTGTGGGGAACTGGCTTGTAATCCCCAAGAAGATGCATGTGTAGCTGACAGGAACCCAAAACACTGGGTGTGATGATAGTCTATAAGATTCTCCCTACTGCCATCATTCATCAAATATGACTAAACTTGAAAATATGGAATTGGATTTTTTACATCCCTTTCTTTCCATGCTTAAATAATAGTGAATGATACATGTGTATGCGTGTGTGTTTATAAGGGACAATAAATGTATCTATTCTACTATTTGTTAAGGTGACACCTTTCATGTAGCTCCCACAAGTAGCAATTCCCACCTGTTGTTATCAATTGTTTCAATAGATGGTGCTGTGTTCTTATAGAAAGTGATTGTAATCTAATTTCTCCTAAATGCTAGCCTGGGTGCTATGAACAAATCTGATTGCTCCGTCTAGCTGACATTCATTAAACAAACCTAATCTAACACCAGAGAAACAATTTCACGTATAAAATCAAGTATTTCTTTTATTAAGTCCATCTTAATTATTTGACATATTTCTTTGCAGTAACTTCTATTATATATTTTGGGGAAACATTTTTTATAGTGTTGCTTTAGAAAAGAAATGTACTTGGCTGTCAAGTACATTCAATCTGTTTCAAAGGGGACAAATTTTATCTGATTTAATAATAATAATAATAATAATAATAATAATAATAATAATAATTTTAAAAGAAAGGCAGGACGTTTTAGAGCTGAACATAAGAGAAAGAAAGCAAAGCATTGGAAAAGATATGGCCAGTCATGATCCTTAGTGAATTTATCTGGAAAGAGATAAGTGACATTCACCTGTACATTCATTAGAGATTTATCGTCCAAGAAGAACACTCTTACTTAAGACTAAATGTCATTGAACTTGTTTTGGCTTACTTCTGAATAGACATATATTGGATCATCTTGGATTGTTCTGTAAGACTGAAATTCTGGGTGTATAACACACTATCTTGAAGTTACTTGTAAAAGGGATTATCAGAGTTTAATAATAATAATAATAATAATAATAATAATAATAATAATTGTATGGTGTAACATGGTATGTTGTAATTCATACATGTCTCTATGATGCACATAGGCATTTTCTGTCTCTGTGTGAACATACTTTGCCTCTGGTGCTACATTCTATGACACTTCATCAGGGACAGGATTTGGAATTCTAGAAGGTCCTGGTCTACTTGCTTTATTCATATTATCAGTCAGATTAAAAAAAATCATCCAAGCAAATGCAACTTCTGCAAGTTTTGACTTTTAAAACCACTCAAAGATTTTTTTTCAAACTGCACATTTTCTTCCTCCCTCAGCTTCATGCTTTTTGTCTGGATGCAGTTACAAACAAGTAAACTAACTTTTATCAAATTTTTTATCTCTCAGTGAATGTCAGCAGAGTATGACAGAAAGTTGTTTTTCCTAACCAACACATAAATTCTTTTCTTTGCTGGAGCTAGAACATTCTTTGTCTATGTCACCTAAGCAGAAGA